CAAAGAAAGTATGCTTCCACCAGAAAGCAGCTCACCAAATACAGAGAAGGGGAGCTTGCTGGATGAGCTAATGGTTCAGGAAATCAGGGTAGACAGGTCACCTCAAGCCACAGGCCGGGCTGGGTAGTAAGTGCTAGCCAAGCCATGGGTTCCTAATACCTTTAGAGGAAGTAGGAGCCATCCTCCCTCCCTGCTGGAGACTTCCAAAAAGGACCAGGTTAATTTTGATGATTTGTCAACCAGATTACTGAAATACCTAATCAGAACATAAAGCAGGGTTACACCATCTGAGCAGTATTAACATTTTGGGCTGTCAATGCTGTGAGGGTCTCTACTGGACATTGTTAAAATGTTGAGCAGGATCCCTGGCTTTCACCTACTAGAGTGGAATACCATCGCTACTCCTCAGTTTAGCCAACCAAAAATGTCTCCTCAAACAGTCAAATGTCCCCCCAGAGGGTAGGAGTTGATGGAACACCTCCATTGAAGGTGAATGTTTTTAAACTAAGAGGTTTCCCAGTTATATAAGTGGCAAAGGCCTTGTAATCAAGTAGTCATGGCCTTGAATTCCATATCACTTAAAAGTTGAAAACTCTCAATGGAACCTTTTGTTCATCTTTAAAATGGGGACAAGTTGACCTACCATACAGTTGGGATAATTACCTAAATTCATGTGTAATACAATTAGGACAAAGCCTGGTCCCAGTGGCAATCAATGTGTGTTTTACTCCTAAACACATGCTTTGAAGGAGAATCAGACATATCTGCTTTTAGTGCTAACCTGGGTAGAAACCTACTCCATGTAAGAAAATTACAATATGATCATTGGCTATGAAAGGGCAGTCCCAGTTCTCTCATTTGGGCCTGGGATTTAAATCTGAGTTCAAAGACTCCCAAGGGACCAGGAGATCCAATTATGGGAATGTGTAAATCTGGGTGGGAAAAAATACACATTTTTTTTGGGGGGGGGGAACCAGGGACTACACTCAGGGGCACTCAACCACTGAGCCACATTCCCAGAACTATTCTGTATTTTATTTAGAGACAGGGTCTCACTGAGTTGCCCAGCGCCTCACTCTTGCAGAGGCTGGCTTTGAACCTAAAATCCTCCTGTCTCAGCATCCTGAGCTGCTGGAATTACAGGTGTGCCCCAGCATGCCCAGCTCACTTTCATATTTTCACTAGCTAAAATTCAACATTTTTTTCACTTGCACTTGGAGGCCAAAAACTATACATTAACTATTCATGGCCATTATTGCCAATTAAATGACAGATTTTTCATATCACATATATTATAGCTAAAATGCTGATTTTGTACAGTTCTACTTCAAAATTATATAAATTATTAGCCCTGCTGATAACACCTTGTTGTTTTGTGTTAGTAAAGCAGCATATGTTATATATCACATTTGGGGATTTTTTATTTTGAAAATTTTATTTTAGCCAAGCACAGTAGACATGCCTGTAATCCCAGCGGCTTGGGAGACTGAGGCAGGAGGATGGATTCAAAGCCAGCCTCAGCAAAAGTGAGGTGCTAAACAACTCAGTGAGACCCAAAATAGGGCTGGGGATCTGGCTCAGTGGTCATGTGCCCGAGTTCAGTCCCTCATACCCCCAAAAAAATTCTAAAAGGGAAATGTGTGCTGGCTGTCCCCTGATGGATATGAATCATCATTCCACCATTATTGTAAAATAAATTTAATCCATTTAATCATAATTTACCAAACATCTATCATGTATCAGAACTGTGTCCAGGATACAAACCCCAGACATCTGTCTTTGTGAAGATATGGCCAGCCCAGGGAACGAAATGGGGATAAAAGTACAATTGTAGAACTTTCCAGGGCTGTCTAGCCACCTAGAGACTTCTCTCCAAAGGGCACCTCACTCACTTCTATATATGGGGTATAAAGGACCAGAAACAAAGCATGTGTCCTCTACTAACTCAGATATGCCTAAACTATAGAGACATGGAAATGAGTTTATTCTTGTTAACCTCAGAATGAAAAAAATCTCAAAATGTTTTCTGGGCTCAAGAGTCCTCATAGTCCAATACTTTACTTACAAAATGATCAAATATGAAGGTTTTTTTTTTCAATTTTATTTTTATTTTGTTCTTTTTAGCAAAAATAATTTTCTGAGTTATCTCATCAGCCAGAACACTAAACACCACCATGGGGCCCTACCTACCATTTCTCTTGGTGGTCTGAGTATCTGGGTACTAACTGGCTTGCATCCTTAACTAAGTTATACAGAATCGCAACATAATAACATACCTAAGTGGTTCAAGTTTAATTCCACTAAAATCACATCATGGAACTACAGCATTAGGAAGGATTACTGACAAATGGGAAAAAAAGAACATGAATCCAGGCTCCACAGGCATTTGACTCACCCTTGAGTCACATCCAATATTCACATGCCAAGAGTAATGCCTTTTGACTCATTATCATCAATTAAAATAAATGTTTATGGAGACCTCACACGTGGATTTCTCACCAAGTACCCCTCATTGAAAGGGAAAAGAATTTAGAAGATCCTGATCTAGCCAGATCTCTTCATTTTCCAAATGTAGATTTGGACAGAAAGGCTGAAATGCTTCACACCAAATGAAATGACTGGGGCAGAAATACAGTAAGAATCAATTTCCTCCCAGAACATTTATGTAAGATCTCAAGATCTGACATAGATGCATATACATATATTCCCCCCCTCACACACAGTTATTTATTCTAGAATGTTCTTCACTTTGCCATAAAAGTTTTCTTATCTCTGATTAACAACAGACTGGGAATTAAAATATTACTAGCTAATGTTTGATCTTTCTGTCTTAAGAGCCTTCTATCCTGCTTTACGTGTGTACACACACACCCTTTTATCACCCATCATTTTACTTTCTTTGCACAACTACATTTAAATGTCACATCCACACCACCTCAACAATTTAGAACCTGCCAGTTTCTCTCCTCCCCTCCAAACTGTGCACCCATGGTTTTCTCTCCCTCTCTAACCAGTGTCAGCTCAAAGCACTGAAATTTTTCTCCCTTTTTTCTTCCTGTAGTCATGGGAAGGCTTTTCCCCACTTGCAGGACACCACAACAGACAGAAGTAGCCTGTTGAGTCAGCATTTCAGGAAGCAATACCTGGATTAAGCTGAAGGAGGTTTAAGACTCTAGAAAGGTCTGAGGAAATGTAAAATCCACAGGCCATACTGAGACCACTCTCCTTACAGCCAGCAGTGTGGAGGAAACCATGCTGCACAAATAGAGGCAAGTGTTCCCAGGGTGCTTACATCAGGAACACTTCCCAGACTCAGCCCTTACTGGTGGGTGACCATGATCCTTTCAACCACAATTTCTCCATAAAGCTTCTTCCTCCTCACCACTCAACTGAGTATACTAGAACCTCCATTAATGACTTAACCCAAAGGCTGACAGGGTAATTCTCAGCAAAACCTTAGAGATCTCATATCTCCTCCATCTCCACCACTCAAGCACTATTTCATCTTCAGATTCTCCCCAGCAAGTCTTCCATCCCTCCGTCCTCACCCAAGAAATGTGGGAATTAAGATGCTTTATTTTCTCCAAGTCACTTCTGACCACCCAAACACACTGACTGGTATTGCTTAACAATTCTAGTTTACAGCTAGATCCTTAACAATAAAAGCCCTAGGAGAGTTCTATGAGTTGTGCACTGTCCCTTCTGTACACCCCCCCACCACACACACACACACACACACACACACAAGGAAGATGAGGCTTAGAAAGGCTGAGAAATAAACCCAAGTTCACATGCAGAGCCAATCAGGAAAAGCAGGATCAAACCTAGGTGTTGCTCTGAATCCTCAGTTTTATTAAATCTTGTGTCATCTGAGGTCCTTTAGATTTGAAGAAAATGCAAAGTGGATCCTCAGAAGTTCAGAAAGTAAGTTCTGTGTTAAAAAAAAGAAATAGTAACAGAAAAGGCTGCTCCATTTAATTAGTGAAAACGCAAGGTACGGAGATACACTCCAAGGAGGGCACACGGAAAGTGCAGATGCAAGTCCGCAGCAGTTACAGGCTTAAAGGCCACCAGAAAAAGAACAGGCAGTCCCATCCCTCCTGCCCCCACCCTCATGTTGGAGGTGCCCAAAGAAAAGAAGCCAGCAAAGCACCCCTCCCCTTCAAAATTCCTGCACACAGTTCCGACTTTCCCAGCCCTCTCCGGTGTGGCCAGCTCTGCCTTCTGAGCCTCTCTGATTACGGGAGTTATAATTCCCGCGCCCGGACCTCATCCCTCCCCACCCCCAATAATAATAACCGCTTCCTTTTCCCATCCCCCCTGTCCCTTTCCGGGGGATCTGTCTTCTACGCAGTCGGCTAAGAATCCTTCAAGCGCTGCGTGGCTGCGGTCCTTCTCCAGCCAGAGCACCCCAAGAGGGGAAACCCCCGCCCCCACGAGGGAAATTTACCCGCCGGCAAGCACAGGAAAAGGTGGCGCGGGCAGCCTCGCGCCGCGCACGCCCCCAGCCCAGGCCTGCGGTACAGGTCACGCCTCGCTAAGGCTCCAACACGCTCCAGCACCCCCGCCCCAGGGGGGATCAGACAGCTCCCAGCAGCCTGAAAGGGATCTCCCGGTGAAGCGCAGGGGAAAGGAGCCCTCTTAGGCAGCGGGTGAACGGTCAGGGCCCGGAAGGGCGGTAAGGCAGGCGGACACCCGACGCGGCCCCTTCAGGCCCCGCACTGCGGCCGGGACAGAGCACTGAGCGAACAGGGGCGCGGCGCTAGCAAAAGTGCGGCCTCCGCCCGGTCGCCAGTGCACGAGGCCCCGCAGCGCGCCTGGCGCGGCAGCCTGGGAGACGCCGGCGCCTCGCGGGCCGCCCGCATTGTTCAGCCCGCCGCGCGCGCCCCGCCTGGCCCCGACCCGGGCCCCGGCCCCAGCTCCAGCCCCAGCCCAAAGGGTGGCGAGGGCGGTGGGGGCAACAGCGCCAGGGCCGGGCAGGTGGCGCCTGGTGCCCTCACCTTTGGCGCCGAGCATGAAGTCCAGGGTGCTGTGCCTTGCTGCTGCCATAGTGAGAAGAGGCCCTGTGCCATGCCTGGGGGAGGCGGCCACAGAAGACTGGGGGGCCGCGCGGCGTGTCAGGCTGCGGGCGGCGGGGAGTGAGCTGCGCCGGGGGAGGCCAGGAGTAGGAGGTGGGCGGGGCCGCTGGGAGCGACCCCGAGCGCGGGGGCGGGGCCGGGCCCGCCTCCAGGAGGGAGGGAGCCGGGACGCCTCCAGCCCCGAACTTGCAGCGCGGGGTGTGAGGCCTCACTAATGGTGGAAACGTGGGCGCCTTGCTCCCCAGCGTGCGTCACCAATGGCCGCGCCCTGCGCCAAGGCTCAGGCCGGCGCTCCCGCCATCCGTTAGGTCACCTTAGGTTTAAACAGCGCAGCACGACTTCCGGGGGGGCCCACCCCATACACTTCCCCATATGCCTCCCTCCAAGCCAAGGCCCCTTTTATTTCTCTGCCAATCAAAAAAAATAAAATGCTAGGATCCACCTCTGAAGTCTTAAGTACAGCTTGCCTTTTTCTTAAAATGCGACAGTTAAACTCATTAGGATTATTATTATCATTATTATTAACCAAGGTCTGCTTTACATTTGAGGTCAGAATGGGGAGCTAAGAGAAGAAAGTAAGAAGATAACATTGTTGCTAAGTTTGGGGTGGGCAATTGCAGATTTGGGAGCTCCTTCTCCAGCAAGACTTTTCCATTGCTAGTGCCTCTATTCATGGCAATGGGCTTTCTGTGGTGGGCTTATTTTTTTACATTGAGGTTACAGCTAGTACTCAACAAAATGAGATCACAGAGAACAGAATTGTCTGTGGACTAAAACTCTCCTTGATATGACTGACAAATATCCCTGGGCAAATACCTCTACAATCCAGCAGGCTCAGGTGCCTTTCTGAATCACAGGGAATTGCTGTGAACAGCTAAACAAAATTTAGATCACTAAACTCATATGCTTCCACAAAAGCACCAAGAACCTGGATTTGAAACTCCTCTGTCCTGGAGTCAGTTCCTAAGGGCTGTTTTGCTGAGTCCTTCAGCAAACCAGGCAATGTCTTCAGGAGTGTTCTTCAACAGACGGTTCTCTAATGAGAGCTGAATCCTTTTTCAGCAACCTTGTTAATTGTTTTCCTACCCATGGCCAACTGTATGTTACTCTGCTCTACTTCTGTGGAGCACAAATCCTCAATTTTGTTAGCAATATATTTGGCTTCCTCACCCTTCAGTATCTCTATGTGAGCCTGCAACTCCTATTTCTTTCTGGGATGTTCTCCAGTTCTTACCATTCCTCTGGAGTCAGGTCATTGGAATGTAGCTGTCCCCGTTCCGCAGGGGCAGTAGGCCCCACAGGCCTCAGATGTGCCTCTCCCCACACCGCATCAGGGTGGGCCAAGTTCTCAGAAGGAGCCTGCCCTTGGTTTAATTATGTGCTGTAGCCATCTTGAAATTCTCAAGAATTTTTGAACCTGGAACCCAGTGTTTTCCTTTTGCAATAGGCCTGAAAATTATGTAGCTGGTCCAGCTCAGCAACTCATGTTGGGGCAGTGTAGGCAGCCCTCAGACTAGGACTGCTACCTCAACTCAGGCTTGAAACCCTATGCCCATCACCTATACCTCACTTTGTTTCCTGCAAGGTATAAAATAAACAGATGAAAAATCCCAAGATGCTTTGCCATTAACTAATCAGCCATAAAAAAGTAGAGTTTTTAAAAACCATTTAGGCCTGGCAAGATGGTGCAAGCCTGTAATCCCAGCAGCTCAGAGGCTGAGGCAGGAGGATCAGGAGTTCAAAGCCACCCTCAGCAATTTAGTGAGGCCCCAAGCAACTCAGTGAGACTGTGTCTCTAAAAATAGAGCTGGGGATGTAGCTCAGTGACCAAGTGCCTAGGAGTTCAACCCCTGGTAACCCCCACCCTCCCTCCCCCCAAAAAAAGCTGAGTGAAAAACCATAAGCAACTTGCTTAGCAAAATGCTACTTATTGTTAGGCATTACTTCTATCCTAAAACTTGCTTTCAAATGTGTCTTTACTGCCCTGAGCTGTTAGCCACAGTGACTACCAACTGGGGAGAAGTCAAAAAACAGAAAAGTGCCCTTTGTTAAAAAGGAGGTGATGGGGCTGGGGTTGTGGCTCTGTGGTAGAGCGTTTTGACTAGCATGCATGGGGCACTGGGTTTGATCCACAGCACCACATAAACAAATAAACAACAAAAAAAGGTATCGTGTCCATTACAACTAAAAAAAAAAAATTAAGAAAAAAAAGGAGGTGATGGTGATGGTGGTGGCAGTAGAGGAGCTGCTTTACTTACAAGAAACATCCACTGAACCACTAGGAGACTGTCCATTATGCTTCTGTCCCAAACCTTCCTTGTGAAGGAGGGGATGGGAATGGGGGAGGGTTAGCAGCTCTTAGCAGCTGCCCTGGCCATCAAAGCTAGTAACCTTTTGTTTTACTGTTTTCTTTTTTGCTTTTTCACCATTTCACTTGGGACCCTAGGAGACATTCCACCTCCCAGCCTCCAGTGCAGCTGTGATGAAATCACTTCCCCTCTTAAAAACTTGGCATTAGCTATTAGGGTTAGAATGGCCCACAAAAGTCTGGATCACTCCCCCGCCATTTTTCCAGATGAATGTGGGACTCACCCAGCTCTTTAAACACTACAGTATTTAAAATTTTGATTAAAAGGAGTGTGTAACTGAAAGGAGGGCTTGGATTTTTTACAAAACAATTCACAATTTCAGCTGCACACTGGAACCCCTGGGGGACTTTAAAACATACTGCAGTTGCTTGGGTCCCAGTCCTATCATCTCATGGAATTGGCCCCAGGTACAATCTGGGCATTGGAACTGTTACAAAAGTAAATAAATAAAAAACCAGGAGATCTCCATGTAAATCCAACAGTGCCACTGCCAAATCAGAAAGCAGTTTGTACCATAGTAGATATCACTCCACATTGACTAGAATGTAAGGAGTGAGAAAATGTAAAGAAATTATAATCCTTTTTTTTAAGAGAGAAA